TTTTCGGTAGTGTAAAGTTTCTAAAACTGTGACCCACCATGGCGCGATTTTTAATTCCTTTTTCATGGTGGCTTAGTTTGCTCAACTCGCATCTTCCATTGCATTCCGTGGCTGCTAACTCCAAATTGTTTTTGGCAACGAATATTGATACGAAGAGAAAGATCTTTGTCGCTCCCATGTTTCTACTATTTCTCAGGAGAACGTGAGTAAAGACCCTCTTCTAGGACAGAATCTGCATTTTCATCAATGGTACCACGCATTTAATGTAGCATGATTAATATATGTTGGCTCAAGTCCGATAAATGGCTGTTGAACAGTTTTCACCTGCCATTAAACAAATTCTGCGGTTTGACAACGTCAATCACATAAGAAATGCTGAATTATCTTTTACTTTATTACACACTAATATTGGCAATTATTTTGGTGTCGATAAAGAGCTAGATGCTGTTTCCTAGAGATTAGATTCCTGAAGGTTACCGTAGACCCCCAAGAGACGATTTTATCCCAAAGAACAATTCTAACGTCAAATCATGCATGCGTGATCAGTGATAACTATTTCATCTGCAATTTCTATGCAAATAAATATTTTCAAAAGCTTGAAATCCACGCGATTTATTCACAAAAACGTATTCTTCGTCTTAGTGTTCCTTTTTAAACACAGCATATTCTAAGTGACTTAAAGGCAATTTAGAATGAGTCACTGCAAATGGCTCTGACAACTTTAAAGTCTATTTCAAAATTTTTTGACTCAAAGTCCTGTTCCGATTAGGGGAGAACGTGTCCCGTGTATACCATGGATCAGGACTTCCCTGAGGAAACAACAACTTCAACTTTCGACTCACACGTGATCTGGACGTGCACTTTAATTAAGACCGTGAAAAATTTGTGTGCCAGACGGCGTCAAGCAAATATATTTTTACGCAGTTTGTTCTATTTTTAGAGTTCGGAGGTGTAACACAACACTTTTAAATGACTATCACCACGAGAAACAGTGAAGTCTCGAGGAAAACACTCACTTTTTCCATTGGAGCCAGTCACTTAGCATTTATTTTCCTATTGCTTTTAGCCACATGATCGTACCATTACGCGGCAGCTCGCCAGCCAGTACGCGCTCCCACTCTCCGCCCTCTCCCACCCATGTCTTTTGACGCGACAAATTTTTGCAAAGCCCTCCTCCAGTTCTCAGTTGTTATGGTGGCGCGGTGTCCCCATGGTTAGTGCGCTCATACAATACGGATCGAGCGGTCCGGGTTCGAGCCCTGACCGGGGAAATTGTGTTGTGTTCTTGGGCAAGACAGTTTACTCTGACAGTGCCTCTTTCCTCCCAGGTGTATAAATGGGTACTGACCTATTTAATGCTGCGGGTAACCCTGCGATAGACTAGCATCCCATCCAGGGGGGAGTAGAAATACTCCTAGTCGCTTCATGCTACAGAAACCGGGATAAGCTCTGGCTTGATTGACCACTTGGCTCGTATGCAGACTTTACTTAGTTATACAAGTGAATATATGAAAGACCATATATTTGAAC